CTTAAAGCCAAATTAACGCGACGCTCGCATAAACGGTGCCGACTTTTCCGTCAATGTTAATACCAACCAGAGGGCCATTAGCCGATCGAACCAACCCTCCTGAGCAAGGACATAGTAACCGGGGGGGGAGGTGAATTAAGGGGGTTGAAATAGGAGGAGCAGGAGGAAGGGGGGGGGGGTTACGCGATCAACGTTCACCCAAGTCGAACGTTTTCTTTCTTTTTTCTTCTTCCAGTCCACATCTTCCAGCAGCAACTCTCCTTAATCGTCGATGCGATAAATCAGCCGAGGAAAGAGAGAAGAAGAAGAAAAAAAAATACCTACGAGAGGAGAGGAGAGGATCGCGAACGCGATAAGCGTGACCGAACATCCCTCTTCTTACCGACACACAGTCGTGTTCTTTTTCCAATCGACAGGGGTGCCTTCTTTAAGATCGTACAACCATTTTCTTTTTTTCTTTATCTTCTTTCTTTTTTTGCTTTTGGTTATCGTTAACGAGATTTGAGAAGAATTTTTTGTTAATACACATGGAAAAGGGGAGAGGTAAAGTCTTCCATGTGGGACCTTGAAAAATAAATTCATTCCTATTAGTCAGTTCTTAAGGGATGATTCTATAATCATCGTAATGTATTATTTAATAAACAGTAGATGTTCGATGCACTTTTGAAAACTTTTAGACATATTATGTGAAACACTGACGTAAGGAGAAAAATAATAAGAAGTAAAAGACATGCTTGGTGTAGGAAGGAAAAGGGGTGAAAGACGATTGTAGGAGGGCCCGTTTGTAGCCGGTTTTAGGAACCTAAGGTTGAATCTATAAAGGAGTGTTTTACGAGGGCGGATAATACGATGAAAGATGCGAACAGTGAGCGGTCATGCTTAAAGAACGCGCGTAACCGGACGACCGTGTTCTCCTTCTTTCCCGGATCCTCGCTAACCGGGCGGTTTTTGAACGAGAGAGAGAGAGAGAGAGAGAGAGAGAGAATTTCAACGAAGGAAGGAAGAAATGGAAGAAGGAAGGAAGGAAGGAAGGAAAGAAGGGTGAGGTCACCTCGAGGAAGAAGCGGTTTCGCTCGTTTCTAGAACGAACGAACGAACGAACGCTGTTGGTGGAAGGTGTACTTGCTGTGTATGAGTGAGAAATAGAGTTTAGGGGTGGTGGAATTAGGTAAGGGGAATAAGAGAGAGAAAGAGAGAAGGTGGACGACCCCACAACCCACACACAGCCCACGGCCCATAATATATCAATTCCGTATTCTAATGTCCAGGCGGTTAATCCAAAAAGCGTCGAGTCTGCGGAAACCTAAGCGGTCGTGGCGCCTTTCGTTTCCTGCGAAGGGTGACCCTCACTCCTCACCCTTTTCCTCCGTCTCTTTCTTCTTCCCTCTCTTATTCCTGTCTCGTCGTGTCGCGAGAGAAATAAGGGCTATCTCTGGTACGACCTAGTCGTCACGTATGTACCTCTTTCTCTCTCTCTCTCACTCTCTCATTCTTGTTCTCTTTCAGCTTGCTGCTGGTACGCAGCTAGGAAGAAAAGTCCATGGTGATGATTCCTTCACTACCAAATTTAACACGAATACTTCCTTGAATGTCAGTTTTGTAATTAGGATAATTAGAAGGAGACAAAGTTTGTGTGGTTTTACTGTTAACGTGTTACAACTTATCTTCTTAGTTGCCACATTTCATTGGATTTATTTCATTTATCAAACATTGATATTGCAAATTTGTAAAGAACAATTATTTTTATTTAATATTTTAACATAAACTTTGTCTATTTTCTATGAATCATGCATGTAATGAGTACCTACTATGTGAACGAGAAAGAAAGGAAGAGAATGAGAAAGAGAGAGAGGGGGGCAAAGTAAAAAAGAAAAAAAAACGAAAGAGGTGTGAAACGGTACGCGGAGAAAAAGGAGTAGTAAAAGGAGGAGGAAGAGGAGGAGGAAGAGGAGTTCTTGGAGTGGCGCGCGAACTATTAAAAAGCGCGCGTCCGCTCGAATTCTCGGGGCTAGTAAATTACCCGAAAAAAGAAATAATCGTTGGTCATCTCCCTCACGTCTCTCCCACTCCATCCTTCACCACCACTCCACTCCCTCCCTTCCCGTCGTTTCGGTGAACCTGCCTCCGACGTAGCGTCACCTCTCGTCCGCGTCGTTTCTCTTCTCTGCTTCTAAAACGACCCAAAACTCCTCTCGAGCTAAACGTTTTCTTTCTCTCTTTTTCGCATACACACACACACACACATACATACCATCTCATTCTCTCTCTCGTCGGAGGAGATATCGCCGCCGTAAAAAAAAAAATCTTCACCTCCACCTTCTCCTACTTGTCCTCCTCCTCCTCCTCCTCCTCCTCTTCCTCTTCTCGCGACGAGCGTCGCGGTCTGAGATAAAAAATTAGCCGGAGTTGCAAACGTTTCCACCTTAAATCATATATTTATCGCGACATTAATTCAACCCTTTTAGGTGGCCCTTTTTTCCTGGCGCCCACCACTCGCCACGGAGAAAAAGAGAGAGAGAGAAAGAGTGTGCATGTATGTGTGTGAGTGAGAAAGAGAGAAGAAAGAATTAGAACCCTTCTCTGTATAACCCGTAGACTGCACTACCCTTTTTCGTTGTCTTTCTTTCTCTTTCATCCATTTCCTTTTACCCCTTTCGTGCTGGACGACAGGCCGTTACCTCGCTAATTTCTCAGATTCAAGTATTTTTATGTACCGTCCCGAGTACCCAACCGACCCAGGGAGGGCTAAATCCTGTGTCGTTTATTATTTAGAGGAAAAGAGATAGATAGAAGAAGAAAAGGTTTCACTCTTTGACTTTTAACCATCCTATCCTCTCATGAACCCACCACGTGCGTGGGCGTAACGAGTTACGAAGGACTCTCCAACTAACGCGAATGAGAACTCGATCGAGAGGGTAGGACATGTCGTATATTTTTTTTTTCTTTTTTTTTTTTTTATCTCTCTTATTCTTACCCCTCGTTATCTGTTCTTAACTCAAACCCTTTTCGTAACAGAACCGATTATTCTTTCTCAACGTTCTTTACGTAAATTCTTCGTTAATACTCGTTTATTCTTCCTTTAAAAAAGAACACACGTATATAGGGGAGGATACAGGTACTACACCCTATAAGAACCCTAAAAAAAAAAAAAAAATCGTTTGAAATAATCTCCAAGCGAGTTGTACCTAGTCACAGGATTATTTTATGGGATCGTCGTCATGTTGTAACATCATCGAAACCCGACGAAATCGAGGGAAGGAAGCATTTATTCACGGTGAAATACAAAACGATGAAACAGCCATGGCAAGCCATGGCAGCAACGGCAACGTCAACGACAACGGCAACGTCAATGGTAGTGGCGGCGGGGTCCTTAAACGTGCCTGGGCCCCTCATGTTTACTTAATAAATACATATTTGGTATACGGCCTAGTACATAAGCCGAGAGAGAGCCGGCTGCAAGCCTATTTTTGCGTTCACTCTTGTTGTCATAGGACTGGGCCGATGGGAGCAACCTTTCCCTCGACGTACCATCCTTGTCCTTCTCTTTCTCATTCTTCTGACAATGGACTAACCGAATATACCAACGTGGATATGATGGATATATATTTGGAGTGGTATAATAAAATAAAATAAATGAAAAATACAAATCTTTTCGTTAGGAATTTCTCATAGATTCGACTGGTTAATGTACATATATATATATATATATAAAGTATAAACAAACCAAACAAGAGATACGCTGCTTTTTTATCTTTTTATCTTCTTTACCTTCAATTCTCACGCATATATTTTCTTCTTATCCCAATGAACTTTTCTTTTCTTTATTTGACTTTTTTTTTTAACCATATCTCTAGCATGACTATACCTATCTTTTAAAAAAAGAAAAATATCTAATGGAATGTATTAGTGTCATGAAAAGAACGAAATTTTAAATAAATGATCTAATCAAATAGAAAAAAAAAACAAACAAAAAGATAAGACCAAAAAGTGGAGAAGGAGCAGAAGGAGGAGGAGGAGGAGGAGGAGAATGATCATCATGGGTATCGTGCGACGGCTGGTATCAACCTCTTTTCTGAATTCTTGCTTGCGAGTGGGTGGTATGTTTGAGAGAAGAACATATGGGGGAGGTTGGGAGAATCATAGTAAGAAGACGAAAACGAAGACCAAGTCCAAGTCCAAGAAAGAACAAAAAATGAGTAAGAAAAGAGATGAAATGAGATGAGATGAGATGAGATGAGATGAGAAGAGAGGATACGAGGCAAGCAAGCAAGCAGGCAGGCAGGCCACGATGCGCTGCTTATGATGTAGTGGTTTAGCCCTTGGCTGCATTGGAGGTGGTAGTCGTCGTGGTCATAATAGTAGTAGTAGTAGTAATAGTAGTAGTAGGTAGTAGTGGTGATGGTGGTGAGTGCTGACGACGATGGAAATGAAGGTAGGAGGTGGCTGGTATCGTAAAAGAGAGGGGAGAGCGGGAATGCGCGCGCGAGAACTTGGTGGAGGGAAAAGTGTGGTCGGAGAATTCGAAAGGATCGGAGAGGGGGTACAGAAAGAAAGAGAGTGTGCGAGAGGTGGCGGAAGAAGATCGTGGTAGTGGCGGTAGCACTGAAGAGAAGAGAAGAGAAGAGAAGAGGAGGAGGTGGAGGTGGCGGTAGTGGTGGTGGTGGTGATGGAGAGAAGGAATGAGAAGGAAGGAAGGAGGGGTAGCCTGTGAGGACTAGGGTGGGAGACCTGGGTGCTAGAGAGAGATGCGGGGAACATTGGGGGAACTGTGGGGGACCGAGCCGAAGGGGGAAGAGGGAGGAAGAGAGAGAGAGAGACAGAGAGACAGAGAGAGAGAGAGAGAGATAGAGAACGCTTGAAAGCAGGCCTGTTGGTTGGTTTCAACTATATTTGTTTATATTTACACAATAAGCAACAGCCCCGCCGGTTCGGGCTCTCTCCGTGCTCGGTATGCTTGTGCCGCATTTAGTGTTTAGTCCTCGCTACTCGCGCGGCGCGTTAACTTACGGTTCCACGACGTTACTTTATCGTATTATTCATATTCTTATTCTTATTATTCATATTTTTCTGACCTTTTTTATCTTTTTTTTTTACCCCATTCATTTTCGTCACTCCCACGGTACGTTTAAAGGGAAAGAGTTTGAGAGAGTGAGAGAGAGAGAGAGAGAGAGAAAAAAAGATTCAGTCTCTGTCTCTATTTCTCTCTCTCTCTCTCTCTCTCTTTCTCTTTCTATCTCTTTCTATCTCTTTCTCTTTCTATCTCTCTCTGTCGCGCGCGCACCAACATCTATTTATCGCCACGTGCTTTTGTGCATCGTTTTCATCCTCCTCCTCTTCCTCATCTTCTTCTTTTTCATCTTCATTATAATTTGTTTAATTTTTATTTATGACATACCAAAGGAAGAAGTTAAAGAAGAAGACAAGTGTGAAAAAAATCTGTGGTGTTGTGTCACCAATGAATTAAATTTATACTCTATTTCTCTCTTAATTTCGTTTCCAGAAAAAAAAATTAAAAAAAAAAAAAAAATAAGAAATAAGAAGAGTCCTTGAAATTCGTATCGGTAGTTGAATGTGAAGAGTAGAGAAACCGAGTGCCAATTCCAAAAAGAGAATTGAAAGTATATATATATATATATATAAAAAGAAAGAAGAGTGGAAGGTGTTAAAGAAAAAGGGAGTAGTAAGGGGGGTAAAAGATCCCTACAGTGCTAAGGAAGAAGAGACTTCCGGTGTGGTGTTTCTTCAAACCAAAGAGAGAGAGATCCTCTCGCCGGATGTTTATCGTGAGTGTCCTTTACGAGTGTTGTTTTTCCTTCCAGTTTCTTTTTTTTCCTCTTTTTTTTTTCATTACTTATCTTTCGTTAATTTTTTTATTATTTAATCGTTTTTTTTTTTTTCTATTTAATCTAAAACCACATTTCTCGTTTCTTCGAGGAGCGTGGACCACCAAGTCTTTCGATGATTTAAAAATACAATTTGATATAAATCCCTTTAGGTACATTTGTGTTTCACATTTTTCTTTTAAGTAACAAAATGAAGAAGAAGAAGAAGAAGAAGAAAATACAAAAAATGCAGCAAGAAAATTAACTTGTATTCTAGGTCTCCATGAACGTGTTCACATACCACACCGTTAACGTAGTCACTTGCCTTACAAAAGGGGGCCAACGATATGTACTTTTTTTATCACCTAAGGATCCTACAGAGATTACGTGTTATTTATCAAACTGTTACCTTCGTACGTGTATGAGCTTATCGTTCACCTCTTTTTTTCTTTTTTGTCTCTCTCACTCTCTCTCATTTGATTCGTCTCGTCGACTCGAAAAATACAGAAAAATAAAAAATTAAAGAAAAAATAAGGAAATCACATTACAAAACTCAGACCCATACTGCAATCTTCCAAAAAAAAAAATAATAAAAAATACGTAAAACCATTTATTATTTATTCACCTTTATAAAAAAAAAAAATAAATAAATAAATTATATATAAATTATTTCGAAATTATCGTAAACCAAGAAACATATTTTTAATTGCATGCAACATTATAACTTCTGTCCTTTTAATATTTTTTTTTTTTTATGTACACCTATCTCTCTCTCTCTCTCTCTCTCACACTCTCTTTCACTCACCTTCTCCCCTCTTACTCTTTCTCACTTTCTGGTTTTTCGCGCGCGGACTATCACTCGTGCTCGCCACGTGAAACTACCGATCGATTCTCCTTCGATGCGCGTAATCGTTCTCAACGAGTGAGAGAAAAAGAAAGAGAGAGGGGAGTGTTAGATAGATAGAGTGAGACAGAGAGAGAGAGAGAGAGAGAGGGAGAGAGAGAATGGAACAGATCGGAAGCAAAAAGCAAAGAAAGGGAAGGGAAGGGAAAGGGAAGGGAAAGGGAAGTTAGAAATTATTATTAGAAAGCCGTAACCGCACGCGAAACATTGTACTTTTGCAAACGGCATGTGTGAGACGGAATCACGTGCGTCACGCTAAGATCTATAATCAGTTGTGCTCACTTGCTAACGATCAAGGCAAAAAACCGGTCTCTCTCTCTCTCTCTCTCCTCATTCCCTCTCACTCTTTCTCACTCACTCTTCTTTTCACTCTCTTCGTACGGATTTTTTTGACGATCATCGTAATCAATCGTTCAATCGATCAATTCGATTCGATTTCATTCGGTTCCAAGTCTACGGAAGATTAATTATATACACATTCCATCGAATAACCAATAATCGTTATGCTAATAAAGATATGTGTCATATCTTATCCTATTTATAATGTCATATATATATATATATATATATATATATATTTTTTTAATTATTAAATAATAATTATTAATTTATTCTGGTCTCGTTAATATTCTTCTTTTTTATTTTTTTATATATATTTTTTATTTCTATTTCAATTTGTCGAGAAAAAGTATTTTTAATTTGGAATACTCGATACCACATCGTATTCTTATGTATTATGCAAATGTATATTACATAATTTATTATATGTGCCCATAATTATGAAAATGGTCTAAATCATGTATCTCTTGTTTCGAGATATTTCAAGATTTATATTTGAACACTATACGAATTCTATATAATACTAGGGGTGCCCTGCCACGCGTTGCTGTTGCTCACAATCAGTTCGATACACACGTCTTTAAGTCAACAAATTACCTAATATTGCGATTATAAATTGAGATATAAACAATCCTATCTTTCAAGGTGGATGAAACTGCACATAGTGTGGAAAATTTGATTAAAATCGGTTCAGTAGTTTAGGAGTCCATTGTGCACAAACAACGTGACACGTAATTTATATATATTAAGAATTGAAATAACAAACATTATCTGACGATTCATTTTTGACAATATCTTGAAAATTACATTGAATTTATTTAGTTTAAAATAATGTAGTGACTTAGATCACTTTCATAATTATGGGCACATAAATGTCATTGAAATTTTGTATTAGATAATGATTTTAATTTTACATATATTTCGTTTTATGTAAAAATGTTGGACTATTTGTTAATCCCATTTTGTATTTAGGTTTTTAAATTTTTATATTATTGGTTTTTTTTTCTGACTTTATAATTTACAGAACCAAATATGAATGCATTGGAATTTAACAAAAAATATCAGATGAAATCTTTGAAATAGTCATTTTCATCCTTACAACGATACTCGCATAATTTCGTTGGTCAAGTTAGTTCAATGTTCTCTCTCTCTCTCTCTCTCTCTTTCTCGTTGGAGACACAACAATAACGCAAACCATAGTTTGTTTTCACATCGTGTTTATTAACGACGGGCATCGCATCGCGTTGCATTAACGTTCAGTTCACGTATATTCATAAGGGGTTGTGCACATATATGTTTTACTTTAAACACATACACATTAGTGTATATTACATGCATAGAAGTATTTAAAACGTGTTTCATCGGTTTATTTCTAATGTAATATCCTTTTAGAGTGATTGAAACAATCGTATTATCGATACGTAAGTACCCAATCATTATTTCAGGACGATGGCATGATGGATCATGACACTGACGGAGACGGTGCGATCAACTTGTCGACGTCGCAACGACCCTCCGCTGCTACAACCCCCAATGGTGACATTCCCGGTTACGGTCAGGATCAACAGGACAACGATCAGGTAAGAAATCTCAATAAAACTCAACAGACAAATCTCATTTGCAAAAATGATATCAAATGAAAAAGATAATATTAATTCAATGATGGTTGTGAATGAAACGAATCCAACACGTGTCTTTAACCTTTGTCGAGTATACGCTAGGGAATTTTTTTTTTGTTTAGACTAGGTGATACAAGTAGGAATATCGTGTGAAAGTCTGTTGAAAATATTACAAGTTCTTAAATAATGAAATCATTCGCTGACATCAAAGAACAAACTACTTCTTTCACGTGCATTCATTTTTATGCAACTGCATTACCTACATTTGATGTTACGATAGAACCAATTTAAGAATGCACTTGTAGAAATTAATAAACAATTTGTTTATATGAAAAATAGAAGAATAAAAGTACTGTTAAATTTGTATTTTGTATAATATGTTTAAATATTATTGGAACAATTTATTAACTTTTCAATGAAACTTTCAAATAACTTATGTTTATAGAATACTAGGGGTGCCTTGTCACACGTTGCTGTGGCTCACAATCAGTTCGATACACACGTCTTTAAGTCAACGAATTACCTTATATCGTCATCTGTTAGAATCTTATCGAACTAACAGAGATAATCATGACTCTTTGTTAATAAACAAATAATATTGTGATTATAAATTGAGATATAAACAATCCTATCTTTCAAGGTGGATGAAACTGCACACAGTATACAAAATTTGATTAAAATTGGTTCAGTAGTTTAGGAGTCCATTGCGGACCAACAACGTGACACGTTATTTTATATATATTAAGATTATTATCTTAATTTTGGATTATATAGAATTTTCTTCTAAGGTGTTTACGAATAAACTTTGGACACCGTCTATAAGTGATATTTATCTCTGTTTAATATCTATCCTACTCTCTCTCTCTCTCTCTCTCTCTCACTTATTTACACACATATTGGTATATGTGCATATGTTTCCTCGTTCTCTCGTCTTTCCCTTGTAACTGTGGCTTGTACATACGGTAGAATAGCAGACGGAGGACAAGTTAAACGATCTATTTCGAAGTTGCTCTTCCGTGAGTCATCACTGAGATACGCGATTCTCTAAACACGTCGTTTCGTTGAATTTTGTTGACGCCCAAACGTCGTCGTCTATCAAGTACTTCAACATTTTTTTTTTAAAAAGATTCATCCATTTCTCTTTTCTTAAATCAATTGATCTTTTTACGATCCCAACTTTCTTTCTTCTTGAAAAAAAAAAAAATAAGATACAGGCACGTACGAGTGCTTACAACTTTTCTTTTTGAAATAGAAGAAAATAAAAAAGGGGAACCGATTTTCCAAGATTGTATGCAAGACTTGGTAGAAAAAGTACGAGAAAAGAAAATAAAACCGATTGTTCGACCTTAAAAAGTGAACTTTTCGTCACTAAGAAAGAAAGAAGGAGAAGGGGAAGGTGATACTTTTGAACCGTTTGACACCCAACCACCATAAAATCGAGAGAACCCCCGTCCTGATTTCAAATTCAATTCAAAATCCCGCGCTCGGTGTTGCCGCCAAGTAGAAAGGAAACGAAGAAAGAAAGAACTAAAAAAAAAAGAAAGTAAAAGAAAGAGAGAAAGTGAAACGCAATATATACACACACCAGTACACGAAGCTTCGTGGCAAGTGGTGGCAAAGGGAAACAAATGTTTTATGGCCCCTAAACCGGCCTTTTCGGTTTCGTTCTCTCGAAAAAATAGAAAATGATATGGTACTATACGTTGCAACTCTATTCTACATAAAACACATAAAGAATATATTATAGTTTTTTTTTTTTTTTATTACATACAGGATATTTCAAAAGTTACTTTCAGTAAGAAACAAGTAGTGTAAATAAAATAAAAACACAAAATTATTTCGTCAATTAATTAGGTAAATTTTCTTTTTTTTTATTTGTTACATGTTAAATTGCAGTCACCTTGTTTAAAAAATGATGCCAATGTTAATTTAAATACTTGATAACAATAATTATTATTTTTAATTTGAATAAACCGAATCTTGGGGAATACCCTGTATGTGTATATGTGAAAGTATCACATTAATACAACCCATATTAGGTATAAAAATCTAGTAAGTGAATACTAGTTCTACTTAAGTTGTTCTTTTTGAAATTGACGTCTATCTTACAATTATAACATGTGTTATTTTCGCATATATATACATACATATTATGTTTTATTCTTTGATATATGTGTGCATACAGAAAAACTTACAACACAATCATAAAAATCGTACGTTCCGTTCTTCGTTTCGTTCGCTTTCGTTCGTAGATAGGCGACCGAATATCAAGTTCACGTGACGCAGCTCGTAAATAAGTGTGTACTTACACAAGTATGTGAATTACACGTGCGACACGTACATCTGCTCGTTTGTTGGTTAAGTGTAAACAGAGATTCGCTTATCGCTGCTACGACACGTCGCTTAGAACATACACGCGCTGATGTTGGAGACTCCAAAGTTTCTTTCTTTCTTTCCTTTTTTTTTTCTCTCTTTTCCTTCTACCTATATTTTAAGGATTTATTTTGAAAAAAAAAAAATGTTTTCTTTATTACCAAATTTCTGATCCTTTGACACCCACAAGAAGTTGTTTCAAAAAAGTACTTTATCAAGAAAAGAATCAACTTTAATGCAACCCCTCTTTAGGCTTGGTTTATTCTTAGATACCCAGGTAATTATTTTATATCTAAAATATTATTAAATATTACCCAAAACATTAGTAGGTACTTACCATCGCAGCAAAAATTCCTCTAATGCGCCAATAAAGAGCAATCTTGTTGTTCGCACACAACAACCTTGTTTTTTGAACACAGCAACCATCAGGGTTTCGTCAGGGTTGCATTAAGGTTTCGTCAGGGTTTCATCAGGGTTTCGTCAGGGTTTTTATTCTATGATTTGTCGCAACAATTTAAGATGTAGATTGGCGCCTTAGCGGAATTTTTGCTGCGCTGGCGTTAATACGTAAGTACCCATTGGTAGATAATAAATTTGAGAATTTTTAGTGAACACCTTGTATGTAACATCGTGATAAATTTCGTTATAAAAATATATAATAGTAGAGAATGATATGATTTTTATTCGAATAAATTCAAATATGAATCTCAAAATTCTGTTCACTATTGGTGAGTCAAATTTCATCGATCGATGAAGTTTCTCTTCTAATTCATACTTTAGAACAGTAGAATATCAAACTTCCTTAAACCAAGACATCGAAAATGATCACTTGACCTTTTTAAACATCTTCATCATCATCATCATAATTATCATCATAATCATCATCCTTTTACTCTTTTTACAATAACTTTCTGATCTTCGGACTTTCGTTAAATTCTATCTCGTTTAAATCCATTTGATTATTCTATGATAAGATAAATCTGTCTCTCTTTCTCTCTCTCTCTTTCTCTCTTTCTCTCTCTCTCTCTCTATCTCTCTATCTCTCTCTTTCTAATTGCTGCTACAAGACTTGTTCATTCTCGCGTGTTTAATAATTAATTGCTAAATAATATGAAAGTACGTATCGTTTACGTTAACCTTGATGTAGAAGGTAGACGTGTAAATGGTCACGTGCAAACTTGCTATTTTAAGAGGAAGAGAGGGCACACTAACCTGAAGAGAAAGAGAAAGAGTGAGTGAGAGAGAGAGAGAGAGAGAGAGAGAGAGAGACAGTGAAAACTTAGCAGTTCGCGCTTGTCTCGAACACTCGGTTAAGACAGCTGAGTTGCCTTTGGTCGACGGGAAGTCTTGTTCGCTATCAAACTTACCATTGGTTAACATTGTTTATAATTTAAGGACTTGTCGAAATACCATGAAAGAGAAAGAGAGAGAGAGAGAGAGACAGAACACTGGGGTCAGAAGGATCTTACGATACATGTATGCACGTATATGTGTATGTATATCTGTATCTGTATACGTGAATAAAGATGGAGCAATCAACGTCTACGTCAAACGTAATCAAGGATGAGAATCTTTCAGGGGTATTCGTGTGTGTTTCGTGCTTTTCGAGAATATCTCACGTCCATGTGTTTCTCCTTTGACCCACGTTTGATCGACTTGAACATGCTATCGAAGTTCACGATAATCAATCGTTAATGATGACTCGTACAGAAAACACAAGCCCATGTCGAATATCACCGAAATTGACGTTTACAGATGAATAAGATTTACCTGTTCGCAGTTTCGTTTCCTAAACTCATCCAATTTTCAATATTCACTTATTTAGAATTTTCATTATTTTTGGTAGAATATCTTAATAGAGATGGAACACAATTAGATGAAATATATTGAATTATTTATACGTTTTGTATTTTTATAGGTTCAACGCATTTTTTAATACCTTCTCACATCTATTCAATACTATCATCTGGGCCAATACGATTTTTTGGCAATAGTATTTAAAACGATTAAAAAAATATTTAATAAATAGATGTAGTTTCTTTTATTTTACATATAAATACAACTTCAATACTATCAAAAAAAGTCACACATCTTTTTCCACCTTCCTTGAGTCAACAACAGTTCAACACAGTTGTTGGCAAAAGTATTTGAACAATACTCAAACAATTTTTTGTTTTTTTTTTTATAGATATAAAAAAAACGCAAGTAAAACTCTATACCGTAAGAATGAGAAAGACAGAAGTATAAAGAGACAAACGAATTCTCACCTTCCATCCCTATCAATACGGAATCCCTTCTTGAAATCGCAAATTGCGAATAGGCTGTCCTTTCCAATCAAGCCACCCCAGACTTTCTTTTGCAACCCCTTTCCCTTTCCGTTCTCTCCCTCCCACATTCACCCTGAGTCCATACTCCTCGATTCTTCTTTTCTTTCATCCATTCGTTTCGTTGTACTTTTCTAAAAAAAACTTACCCTACACCCCAGCCCTCTTTACCTTTTCAACCTACTACCCACCTCTCACTCATTCGATCCGATGATTTTTTTTCTTCTTCTTCTTCTTCTTTCTCTTTCTTTCACAAGGCACAGC